TCTCACTCCAATAAATCAATCGCACGTGTGACGGGGGGGGGGGGGGACGGTGTGTAGCAGCGCAGCAGTCTGCGCAGCCTGCGCTGCTGGCTTCCTCCAAGTTTACAGTAAAACAAACTGATGGTGTGACCAATGGCCATTTACAAGTATTAATAATATTACTATTATTAGCATTAGTCTATATTTTGGTTGAAACAGAGCCAGGAAAAAAAACATAAATAATAATAAAAAAATATATAAATAAAATCGAATTTTAAAAATAATTTTCGATTATGGAGACTGTAACGAATAATCGCTGGCATCCCTACTGTAAACACATTGAAGCTATTTCAAACCAGAAGATATTTCTCCTTAAAGCCGACTCACCTCCTCCTCCAGTACGTCACAGGCCAGGTGAATGTGCGACACGTCGACCTGATGCGGTTTGGCTTTCAGTTTCCTGGCTCTCAGGCTCCACAGCTTCACGGTGGAGCTGTCGAATCCGGCGGAGAGCAGCCGGCTGTCGGCGGAAACCTCCGCCGTGTTCAGCATCTGCTCCGTGTTGTGGAAGGCGTAGAAACACACGGTGGTGAGTGTGGGCGGGCCCTCACAGACTTTCTTGATGCAGTCCTGAAGAGCCTCGAGGGCCACTTCGCTCTGAGGGATCCCTGCAGGAACCTCCACCCCGTCCCCACCCTCCACTCCGTCTACTCCTGCCCAGGAGGAGGCGGGGTTTGGGGCAGCAGTCGCCCCACTGGCAGCTCCATAAAGCTGGTAGTCTGTGCGCACGGACGCGGCGACCTAGGATAGGATAGGATAGGATAATACTTTATTGGTCAGATCAAGTCTGAAATTTGACTTGCATCACAGCAGCTCCATGTGTCAAGACACCATACATCAAGGCTTTTCTTTTCATGTGTCCATAGCTACAGTGTAGTTACGACAATGAAAATCTTAGGTGCTCAAAACACGCTCAAAGACCCTGTAGCGTGCATTTGATCTGGGATTCAGCTCTCACCTCCACCTGCAGGTGTGTGTTCAGCGCCCTGCAGATGGCGCTGTTGTCCTCACTCTGCAGGTATCGCAGCAGGTAGCTGTACGCCGGCTCCGTCAGGTGCACCACGTACTTGTGCTCCAGGAAAGCGCTCAGTTTGGGGTTGGCTGCGACGTCCTGAGAGGTGAGAACATGACGGAGCTGCTCTATGGTGGCGCGCTGCTCGCTGTCCTGGAGGAAGAGGGTGTGGAAACGGCTGTAAAAACCATCCACTGCCCCCTTCAGGCCGCAGTGCACCAAGTCCAGGTGGAGGTAGACGAACAGCGGGTAGAGGAGGCCGCTCACCTCCTTCGCCCAGGATATTTCTGTTTCTGATTATTGGGAAATAAACAGTGTTCAAGGCTTTTGTGCATTGTCATGTGTACATAGCTACAGTGTAGTTGTGACAGTTAAATTCTTAGGTCACAGGCTCCTCCTACAGTGCAACACAATAAAAGGGAAAATAGTGCAAGTAAATAACATAAAATAGAATATAGTAGAAATAGTGCAGAATAGTCTATATACAAGTGATTGGAATATTGATATATACTGTATGAGTTGCAAACAGATGCATTTTTATGGATGTTCTTTCAAAAGTTCAGGTGTTTAACAGTCTGATGGCCAGTGGGATGAAACTGTCCCTTAGTCTGGTGGGTTTAGTCCGTTCTTAGGGTTTTGTAATAAAAAAAAAAGTACTTGGAGCAATTTATTTGCATGGCTCGGCAATGTGGAGTAAATGCAAAAAAAAAAATCACAGTATTTATGACCAAATTCCTTAAAAAGCAATATTGCTAAAATATTGAATGATTGACTTTTGGTGCAATCAAAAATTATTTACTAATGAGATATTCATAAATAAATCAATCAATCCAACAATCAAAGGCAAAGAATAAAAAGAAAATACCAAAAATCTATCTCAAGATCTGGCAATGACAATATCATACCATATTTTCCAGACGTGTGATTTGGTGGATTTTTGGATTTGATACCTGAGAGGAAGGAGCGCAGCCTGGAGAACTGAGCCTCGTACTGCTGCGGCTCGGACTGGCACGGCGCCGCAGAGACGATGTTGGCACAACCCGACTCCGTCTGCACTGCTCAGAGAGGGAGGTTCAGGAGAGAGTACAAATAGATATGTTAGTTGTTAGAAACATATCAGTCGTCACCGGCTTGAGCTTCAATCTCAGGATCCATGTATCTGTGATGTTCACAGGTACAGTTGGGATACCTTTGTTATCATGTTACTCTCATGTTGGAAGAGGACATTCTGTATTTTCACAACATTAGTGCAAGTAAAATATCCATTATGCAAAATAGGCTGTTTTTAAAGTGTCCAACATACCAATTTAAAAACACATACCTGCACAGAACTGAATAGCTCCTTCACTTTAAAAACACATACATTTTTACTTAATTATTTTCGCATGTTCTATTAAAACTACTTTATGTTCTTTGATGTGACTGTTTTGCTATGAGTTTATTGTTATTCACCAAAACATAAAGAAATTCCTTCAAATTGCAAACCTAAGAAGTCCATTATGTTTTGTATGTAAAAAAAAATAGCTACTAAATAAAGGCTTTGAAGAAGAAATACTATAGTTCTCTTTGACCTGTTGTGGTGACATATCTGATGTGAAAGACAAATGGTATTACATCTTCGTCTTTGTTTAGTTATTCACCTGAGAGGCTGGCAGCCATCTCCTCCGCTGACTGGAAGAGCTTGGCTCCTTTCAGAGAGCCGTCAGTTTCCACATACTGCCGCCGCTTCAGGTACTGAGTCACGGCACACTGGATCTGCTCAGTGCGAACCCGCTTCATGGCCTGGAAAATACATAAACACATTTGTTTTTGTATCAGTGTTGGGAATGTAATTTTCTCAAGTAAAAGTACTTAAGTACAATGTTGACCTACTCAGAATCAGAATACCTTTAACAGTCCCACAGAGGGGACAATTACATTGTTACAGCAGAAAAGAGGCAGCTTAATGTTCCCTAAGAAGCATGCATACAAAAGTTATAATAACGGATACTATATAATACTTTTACCTTACTTGTATTTCCTACTTCTACTCCACTTCATTGGGAAATATTGTATAGCTCTCTCCTTTACTTTTGTCTGACAGCTTATGTTACTGTACATATTCAGAATATTAACAAAGAAAATAATTATAATCAATAAATACATATTTTGTTATATCATGCTACCTATGTTGTGGATCTCAAATCAATTCCATCTTTGCCAGCTACAACAATGAAGTAATATATTTATCTAGAGCTGCAATGATTATTATTAACCAACTAATCAATGTGTCTAGTTTGTCAACTGTTCTGATAGTTAAAGTAATTTTGTATGCAAATAATATAAGATTACATTTTGCCGTATATTTTGATAATAGTGGAATAAAGTATAAACCATACTTTATATATAAAAAAGGTATAAACATATTTCAAATAAAAAGCGTTAACACATCTACAGTAGAAAATACATTTATCACAAGTATTACACAATGTAAAATATTCAAAATAAATTGAAATGTTCAGTAAAAGACAAACATATTGCAGCATCAGACATAGATGTATACTACTACTAGACTACTACTTACTATAAGCGAGCTAATGTGTTTACAAAGGCATTTCACATAAAATACACCTTCAGTGACGATATACATACATACAATAGAATGAAAACGAGTGTGTACGCTTGAAATATCGCAGTATTAACGCGTAAATCTAGTCTAAAAGCCGGCATGTTTCCACATTAGAGGAAGATGTTTGAGCTGAGCTAACCGCTAAGCTAACCAGCTAAGCTAACGGGCCTCCAGACTTTACGCGGGATTTGATCCGGTTCCGTTAGCACCGCCGGTTGGATCTCGGTACTCACTGCATATCGTGGAGTTTCTCTCCGTGCTCAGGTACTGTGTGAGAGATGGTGGAGTTTTAACTCTTTTACCGGGTGAAACTACGCCAGTCGCTGCCACTCCATCGTGTGTTCCGCCCCCCGGTCAGGCTCCATTAAAACATGCTAAGTTAGCTAGCCGCTATCATCTCTGTTGTGGCTAACCGCTACCGGTGATCGACCCGAGCTCCTTGCTTTCCCTTATCAACACCACTTGAGGGTCTACTACCTATGCCTGGACCTTATTGAACAATTATTCCAATACATCAGAAAAAGGCACATATACATCAGTGTTCATTCATTCAAAACTAAGGGCATAATTAATAGAAAACAAAAAACAGAAAAAACTTACTTACTTACTTAAACCTATTTAAATGCATTATTGATTTCCACTCAAGGGATTAAAAGAGCATGTGTTCTTCTCCTAACGTTTTCAATGTATGACTTTTACTTACAGTGGTGTATTTTTCACATTGGTATTAGTAACACTTAATGATATACTTTATGGGTCTCTTTTAAAAGATCAATACAAAAGAAAGGGATGCTTGTTAGCACCAAAAGCCTATTAAAACTACTTGTCTGGTGTAGTAATACAAGTTTAATTTACTTCAAATTATTGGGTCACAGGACATGGAAACGATTGAAAAGCAAATCAAGACTTTTCAATTGTAGAACTTGACTTTATGACAGGGACGTTATTTAATATTGCATTGCACTCTGCTTACTAGTTAAAGAAAGACACAAAATGAAACGAAGCTACAAGGACTTGAGTCAGACAAGATTTGATGGTTTTGAAATAGATATAGGAGGTTTATTTGTGTTATTCCCAGAACTGTTACAGGATGTGTATTTTGTAAATAGTGTCACTTTTTCTTATAATTGTGTAATCTTTAATACTTTTTTATGCATGATTCTTAGGTAACATTAAGCTGTCTCTGGCTCTTTTGCTTTAACAATGTACATTTCCCCTCTGTGGGGCTATTAAAGGTATTCTGATTCTGACAATATATAAAAAATATATTATTAAAAAAAAGAATAGATAGTGGGCGGGGCTTTCCTTTGACCCGGTGATGACGCATATTTCAAGCGACTGCACCGCGCGCTGTTTTTGGATTGTACAGCGAGGTTTAGCGGTGTGTTTATATTGTTTTTTACGGTACATTTCTTGTACATTTGTCTCCTGTTGACCGGTGAAAGGGCGCCACAGCAGCATGTTTACCCCCCGCGCCGCACCGAGCTCCGGCCGCCGGCAGCAGGGCAGGAGCTCCGGGAGGAAGAGCGGGACCAACCTGCTGTTCTCCCCGAGGAGAGCGACTCTATCCGGGAGGTGAGGACACATACTGACCGGTAACATCTAACATGTAGTGGAAGAAGTAACTTAGTGCATGTACTCCCTCATCATTCTTCATTGTTCTGTGGTTACCATGGTTTTGACTAATAACGGTTAATTAACGGCTGTGTCAGTTTGCTGCTAACTGTTACTAGCCTCTGTCAGTGTTGTAACTAAGTAGATTTACTCAAGTACTTGTTTACAATTTTTTAGGTACTTTTACTTGAGTATTTTCTTTCTACTTTGTACTTCCACCTTCTAAATTTCAGAAGTATACGGTGTACTTCTACTCCACTACATGTATTTAATACCTTTAGTTACTTTACATATGTGGATGAATGATGTGAAATATAATCAAGTGTTAAATCAGAGTTTAGTTCTACCTGGAGTAAATTCACAAGCTACCCTGCAGTATACAAAGTCATTCAAACTAGCTGCTCCTTTACCAGCTTTGAGAACACTTTAATGATCAATCATTATAAAACATATCATATATATTATTCTGAAATGGACCAATCTGATGCTTTGATGAGAATACTTTTGTGCTTTTACTTGAGGAACATTTTGAATGCATGACTTTTACTGTAACAGAGTATTCCTACACTCAGGTACTTCTACTTTTACTCAAGTACAAGATCTGAGTACTTCTACTTTGACTCAAGTACAAGATCTGAGTACTTCTTCCACCTCTGTTTGTGTCTAAATATATTTTGTTCTAACTTTATTTGAAACATTGTGATATAATTATATTTAAACTATATTATACTAGTGTCCATATCTCTACAACCTCATGAACAATTTGCACATACTGTACATATACATTGAAGCCCCCTTACACTACCTCACAGGATATAGTTTACTTTTAATTAAAAGCTACTGTGTGTGCACACATCTTTAATGTATATAATACACTATGTTTATATGTCTCTGTCCCTTTTTAATAGATTGGTTTATTAGAGAGTATTCAAATGTATTCTGTGTATTCACTCTTAATCTCTCTCCATCAGGGGAACACCCACCAGAGCGCAGAGCCATGCCGCTGCAGATTTATTTAACTACGATCTGCAAACCTTCGGCTCCTCGCTGCCCGTCAAAGTGATGGAGGCCCTGACCATGGCTGAGGGTAAAGAAAACCTCATCCCTGTTACTGTCTGTTAGGAAAATATCCCTGGTCCCCGGCTTGAGCTTCAATCTCAGGATCCATGTATTTCTGATCCTCTCAAGAATGGAAGTAGTCATCACATACAGAGCATCAACTAGTTCCTGAACAGTGTCCTTCACATGCTGATTTGTGACCTGCTCCATCGAAATCAGTCGCATTGACCCGAAGACACATTTTGAGTTGTATACACTGTTGAAAAGAGGAGATTCCTAGCTTTCTAATGATATCAGGATTGTTTTTGTACTCCAAATATTAAACAAAAATATTTCACATTATATAATGACTGTCACCAAGTCATCATTTTGAGAAGAAGGCCTTCAAAGTGTCCTCTTCTCTGGAATCCATCGATCTGATTGATTATTAGCAAATGATCTGGGGGAAGTGTGTGTGTGTGTGTGTGTGTGTGTGTGTGTGTGTGTGTGTGTGTGTGTGTGTGTGTGTGTGTGTGTGTGTGTGTGTGTGTGTGTGTGTGTGTGTGTGTGTGTGTGTGTGTGTGTGAGAGAGAGGGGGGGGGGAGTGT